TCATATTGGTCATGGAGAAGGTATGTCGCAACGAACCACTATGCAGCTGGCAAGGTCATTGTATACCTGGCAGATTTCATTTCCTGTTTCCCAGAAAGAGAAACCTTGTTGGGTGACTGGTTCTCACCCAGATTTTGTGAATTGCAATCACTTCAAAAGCAATCAATGTGCACAAGTGATTGAGTAGATGCCATGCCAGAAAATTCACTTCACTTCATTTGATGCTAGAGTTTCATTACCATAACGTCTGTGGTGAATTTATGGGAATAGAAAAGAATAGAGATGGGGAGCTCTTGATCATGCTCAGAGAGACTACAATAAAATACATGAGAGGAAGAGAAAAAGGAGGAGACATCTATGAAATAGCAAAGATAGAATAGAATATAACACAATAAAAAACACATTCCCTTCGACTGAAACTCCGATAGCTGGGGAGATGGAGAGGGCTTACAAAGGTCAGGCTGCCAGAACAAAACAGAAGTAATAGGACAAAAGGATCATAGGATTCAAGGTGATAATGTAAAGAATGCTACAAAACTAATCTTAGTAAAAGCAAGCTTACACTGAGGGCTGGTCTGTACTGCACACTGTGTGGTGCAGGTGGAGCTGAGCTTGTTGACCACGCCAGTGATGTTCTCCACCCGTCTGTCCACCATAGCCTGCACGTTGTCCAAGTTGAGCAGGTTGAGCCCCTCCAGACGACCCTGCAGAGCAGAGATCTGGCTCCTGGCATTGCGCAAGCTGGCTGACATCCTATTCAGCTTCACCTGAGATAAAGCCAGAGCGGGCATGAAGGAAATTATGTTTGGCACAGAATACAAAGCAGGTGGATTACTGAAGTCACCAGCCTCCTTCACTGTTTTACCAGCCAATTTGAATTTTAGAATGAAAACGAGGTCTGCGTGATGATTGGCTGTCGGCCAAAGTGACTGTGAGAGTCAACAAGCTTACCAGACAGCAAAAATTTACCGCCATTTGGCCGGTGTCTAACGCTGATTCCCCACCCTGTTTACAGTACCAGGAATTTTCCCCAGTGGATTGGTGCCAGGTAGGACTTTACCGGTCTTTTAACATCTGGTTAGTTTACATTCCAGCTGGGTGCATTTGACTGGGCAAATTCCAGGTGACATTGTATCTACGATGTTTATAAAGCACATTTTATATCAGTTTGTTCAGACCAGCGTCCCTGACATTTTAACAAGACTAATAATGATATTGGCTGACTGACAATTTGCATGGTTTCGATGGGAATGGTGCAGTGTCACCATTGCACTCGTCGTACACCCCTCTAAACAATGTTTGTATGAAGAAAATGTGCACTGGTCTGTATTTTACAGTGAAAACTATGCCAAAGCCTTTTCCTACCCAAAAGGGAAAAAGCATACACTTAACCTGAAATAACATCAGTCATTAAAAATTCAGAAGTCTGACAATATTTCTGAAAATTGACTTGGTGTTTTTTTTTTTCAACTGAACCAAGTGCCCTTATACAAACAGTATTCATTTCTTGGTTAAAAAAAATCATACATTTTTCAATTGTATGTTAAAAAATTATTTTTACTGCGACTGAACTTTGCCTCTTACCTGCATCTCTTGCATCGTGCTCGGGCTTGGTGTAATTTTTCCAAAAATGGAACCTTGCCCCAGTCCAGCACCGTCCACACTAGCTCCAGGAACCATTCCATCTCCCCTCTCCTCCTGGCTGGACCCACCTAACACCTCCTGCCCGGTCAGGTCCAGTCTCACGTTGTCCCCAGCATCCCTTTGAATCGGGTCCTGCATCTGTCCCTGGTCTTGCTGATGTCCAAAAGCTCCATTACCCCGTGCCCCACGGCACTCCTGGCACCCACTTTTCAGCTTGTTCACCACCTCCTTCAGGCTCTGCAGCTCCTTCATCGTCTTTTCCAGCAGCCTGAACTGCTTGGGCAGCTGGATGGTCAGGGGAGGCAGGGTGAGCTGGTAGGGGCAGTCCTCTCCTTCCTCTCCGGTGCTCCCACACTGGCCCGACGGTCTAAGTTTCATGGGGCACGAGGCAGGGGTACCAGAATCAGATCCCAAATTGTAGGTTCCTCTGGCGTCCCATCTGTGATGAGAGTTAACCGGAAAGTCTGCTGCCCGGCTGGTTCGCGGCACCAAGGTGGCTGTAAGCAGGAGACTGGCACAAACGCAAAACACAGTTGTCCTCATTTTTTCTGCGAGATTTGTAAAGGAGAAATAAGTGTGCGTAAAGCTAGGGTGTCTGTAACTGCCTCCGATATGAACTTGGAGTGTGGATGCGTTGTAGTAGTGTGTGTGTGTATGTGTGTGTGCCTGCAGATTGCCTGTAAGTATCGGAGTAGGTGAATGTGTGTCCAGTATCTTATTGGTTTTAAGAGAGAGAGAGTGTGTGTGTGTGTGAGAGAGAGTGTGTGTGTCTGTGTGTGTGTGTGAATGAGCGCAGCCTGCAGGATGGAGAGAGCGCAGGGGAACTGCCGCTGCCTCAGATAGCTGTGTCATTAATATCAGGACGAGGGAGGGAGGGAGGTAGAGAGAGAGGCAGAGAGAGGGAGGGAGCTGAGATGGAGAGGATGGGAGGGGCAGTACTATTGCGTAATGCAAAACACCATATCAACAGCATAGTGAAGAACTACAGAGATGCAGACAGATTATGGGAGTGGTGGTGGGAAGGAGGGGCAGGGAAGGGGCAGGGAGGGAGTTAGGGAAAAAAAAAAAAAAAAAGGTAGGTCCATTGCCTGCAGTCAGTGCATGTTGCCATCCCGCCTCACTCTAAAGTCAGCCCATTTCCCTGAAGAACAAAATGACTCAGAACACAGGAACTGTCCAGTCAACTGACAGTAAGGTGATTTTTTTTTTCACGCTTTGTTGTTTTGTGGTTTTGAATGTCCCCCAAATTTAAAGCCCTCTTGTTGACCCAGTTCAGATTCCAAATCCTTACTGACTTTCAAGTCTCCAAATTACAGTCAGGGGGGCAACAATTACAGTAAAATCCATGGTTTAGCCAGCAGCAACAATGGGAAAAGATTTGTTTCAATTAGCACAGCTGCAAACAACCTGTTGTTCTGTATTTACAGGCCTTGCTTGGGATGCTGCAAACGAAGCGCAAGACTCATCGGAGACTTTTTAGAAAATGATTTTCCCTGACATTCTTGAATGCTGAACACCTGCCAATATTCTGTCCTGATCAGATTTAATTTTCCCACAGTAATACACCTGCAGAGTGCACACTTAACTCAAGAGCAGAACTGCATTAACATAACAAGCCACTCGAATTCAGATATGTTCCGATAGCTAACTAATGCGCCATTAATCTTACATAACCTGCATCACAGCTTAAAGGTGCCTTTTGGGGTTTTCATGTAAACAAGCAAAAGTTCTGATGATTCACTGTTGCTCACCAAAACACTCTGTGTATACTTGGCATCTAAAAGAAGTGTTAAATTCACTTTTGTCATAAAAATCCTTGACTGTTTACAATCATGTTAAAGGGCTGTCTCAAGTACTTGTCGGATGATGGGATCAGCTGCAGGACCCCCAGCCCACGCACCTTTCCAAAGTCAGGAACTTGTTTTTCATTTGTTATACAACCAACTCTGTCGCATTTCAGGTGAAAAACAAAATGCAACACTGTCATTATCACTATACTGAAACAACATCATCTTATCTAACACAGGGTACCTTTTTTTTTCCTGTTACAGTGCTCTGTTGTTCAATATCCACAGAGAATGAGTGTCAGTCTGGCACTTTCCTGTGTTGTCAGGAAAGTTTAGACTGGATATAGACATCTTCCTCTATAGCCTAGAGAAAATATGTTAATTCAAAAGCTCTCTTAACCAACAGCAGGCAGGTTACATCTGCGGCATGTCACTGAGAAAGATGCAAAACAGTCTTTTTTCGCCCAAGCGGCTCGGCTTGCCTCGCTTTCTGTCAGTGTGAATATCATTAATTGGAATTGCTCTTTATTTGTGCCGCTCAATGATTTACAGGGAATAAGTTCTAGTGTTTTAATGAAGGGAAGTGGGACATTTTGAAAACAGTAACAATAAACAAAGTATTAGTCTGTTCAGTGATGCCCTGGAATTTCAGCGATATGGACTTGATGTTCTCACAGAAAAACTTGCCTCCTCTACAGGGATCTCGCAGGTGAGAAACTTGGCTCTCGAGCTGGAATATGACAATAAGTGCCTTCTTTAAAGACGCCTCCACAAGGCAGATGTATCTTTATAGGACAGTGTGACGCTAACTCTGAGTTTTGGTGATCTGAGTAGATTACACAGTGGTGGACTTGATGTAAAATATATTAAAACTTTTACTGCTATCATGCCACCAGTCACGGATTTATGGATTGGGTTGCATAGTTTGTTTAAATATTAAACAATGCAAACATATAACGAAGCGTTGATTAATGAGCGATATATTTGTTTTTGTATGTAGGCTAATGATGTGGCGTCGTGGTCATTTTTTGGTGGTTTTACGATTGCCATTACTGAAATTGCAGTCATACTCTGGCACAAGCATCATTCATACATTAGGCAATCTCACGGAGCATCTTATAGAAGTTATTAAGCAATGGAAGCTATTAAAATGAATTCTGCGGTGCTAACAGTCCTAGCACCGACTCTCTCAGACCTTAATGTTACCCTACTTGGAGTTTTGTTATAAGCTTCTTGTAGGTTCATTAACTTGGCACTGATTATTTGTTTGTGGGACATAGCTATTGTTTCAGTTGTTTATGTGATTCATAACCACGGGACATGCAACTGGAGTTTGTTTTTAGTTTAGTTTATTATTCTGGGGCAATAGATGTCTCATGCACATGTCATATTTCTAGAGAAGTGACACAGTTTCAAGTAACTGATCTCATCTACAGAAGTGGCTCACAGCCCTAGTGGAGGAACACTCGAGAAAGGGGAAATATTTCAGCACAAAACTTCTTCTCCTAACAAAGTGATTCAATCTGGCTGTATAGGCTCAACTCCAATTCAAACAGTCAGTCCGGGGACATGAAGGTAGAGACAAAGAGAGAGAAAGAGAGGGATGGTGGCTCTCTCATCACACAGTGGAATGCAGGGCTGTGCTTCGTGGCGATTGTCATTATTTTTCTCCCTGAGGGTGCAGAGTCTTAAAGCCCACAGCTTCTTTTTGTTACACACTCCACATACCTGCAGCCTTACACGCTCATATTCCTGGAAGGTTTTCGTGCTGTTCTGCAGTACCGATCACATGCCTGCCGGTGTGAGCGAGCGAGCGAGCGAGAGGGGGAGAAGATGGACAGGTACGAGTGTCCACGTGTCTGCATAAATATCTCACAGTGATTGTCTCTATCTCACTTGAGAGGCGCTTTGCCACATGTTAGCCTCATGCAACCACCCCATAAAAGCCTCTCTGCTGCTGAAGATAAGTTTTGGCAGCAGAATTAGAGAGGCTGCCCGAAACTGCTTCAGGCTGCTCCTCTCAGATAAATGCTCAGTGTACAGTCAGGATGTTTCTTCCATCACTGTCATCTGTACTGCTGAAAACACAAAACTGACCGCTTTGAAAAAGATAGCCTCTAATTCAGTTTTCAGTAGTTTTTTTTTTGTGTGTCAGCGCAGTGACAATTTCACCTTCTAAGGATTTATAATTCCTCTACTGACTGAAGTTGCAGTTAAAGAGATCTTAACCTGACAATTTAAGATGTGAGTGTAATACTTGTTATGATTTTTTCCTTGTAGTAATGTGACCTTGGGTGACTTAACGGGGTGAAAAAAAAACTCTGAATAAATCATATTAACAAGAGCCCTAATCTACATCGTTCACAACATTCATATCTCTGTCCTTTCAGCCCTTGGAACGTGGTCGGATGCTTGCAAGCACTTTTGACAATAGCCAGATAAACAATATAATGGGATGAATCTGAAAACATAATCGCCTATCCCTAATGTTTGAAGTCAGGACGAGATATCACTCCACATACGTGTGTGTAATCAGAATGTTTGTGTGTTTGTTGCTGTTGGATTACTTGCTACACAGTCCGACCTGAGATATCCTCAGTCCTGCAGCTCTTTGATACAGACAAGGCTATCCCTCATTACTCCCAACTCTACCAACCTGGCTCTGAAGATAAGAAGGAAACAACACCTGTCCTCTGTTTTCTATCACTGTTACGTACACAGAGAAGTCCCTTTTAGATAATTTCCTTTTCACAATGCTTTTGACCTGATATCTTTGTCTTTGCTTTGTTGTGCTTTGTTTTTTTCAAACTTTTAAAAATCATTCAGGGATAATGGTACCTACAAATGTGAACCGTGGGTGCTTATCATTATATATATATATGGTCCATTTCCAGGTAATGGTCTTATCCTTTTGAGATTGCAGATAGTTTGGTGTTTGTTTTTGCAGCTGATCTTGATAAGATGATTTGGTGACATTTGCCAGCTTTGGATAAATCTCTTTACAGGCATCAGGAGGCAGGGCTTTCTTGTGGGCGATCATTCTGTGTTGGCGAGTTCAAATGGATATAAAATATAAGAGCTTTTTCTTACAACTAAAATTCCTGCAAATTCCAGCAGAAATGAAGCATTTTTGGGTTGAAATGGTCTGACTGTTATGAAATTTAAAACTAGAGCTGAAAATGAGAGTCTCTCGTGATTTAGTTTTCAACTTCTGGAACTTAATTTGTCACTAAATAATATTACACAAAATTGCTTACTGGTCAGAAGTATATCTGGTTTCTTGCCTTATTGAATATTCAATCAAGAAAAAAAATGGAAACGAGAGATTTCCACAGAATGTGATATCCTATTAATATTTTAGCTTTTGTAGAGGCAGCTCTGGGTCAGATCAGGGAGTCAGAAATAATGAAACCTGAACTGACAAACCCAAACAGTCATATGCTGATGGGAGTTTAGAAATGTTGCTCAGTTTGTGTCCCCAGAGTCAATTTTCTTGGTAATATTGACCCTTTTTCTGTTTTTCAGCTGTTGTCGCTGGGCAAGACCAGCCAGACCAGAGTAATCAAACTTAAAGCCAGCTACAAGCTACTCCATGATACCTTGAAGAGGTATGTTTTACTGTTTTTCTTGATGAAACTCGTTCACATTTGTATTGTACATTTCAATCAATATCTGACCACAACGGTGCTGAGGACAGCACATCAAAGAAATAAGTAGAGACCTGTGGTCAATTTTTTGTGACAGCCAAAAGGCTTCCAACAGAAGTGTCCTTGAACAACTCCTTATCAGATCCAATACTACTCTTGTGTACTCCAGGGGGAAAAAAACATAGTGGTAGCATCTGAAAGCAGCTTCTGAAGACACAATTTAAAGCTGGGATTATACTTATTTATCACTCACTTTTAGGGGTCAAAAATCCTAATATTTACAGAGTTTGAGAAGTTCCTGAGGGAGTGCAAACAAGTTTCAACCAATGGAACTACTGTTGAAACCTCTTAATGAAAAACATCCCCAAAACATACTTCTTTTTAATCCTTACTGAATCCTTAATGGATTCAACAGATTCCTCAAATTGCCAAGGTGCATATTAGAAAGTGAAATTAGCTTCTGAGACCCCAATTACTTGTGAAAACAACAAAACCTGAATGTGCACATTAAATTTAATTGGATTGGTGCTCAGAAGTCTATCATGGATATCAGCAGCTGCTGTATGTTTACATGCATTTTGGAAAAACTGGATTCTACTCAATTGTAGTTTGATAACATGTTTGTTGTGTGTTGCCCTTTATCTTACAGTTATGGGTTAGTTTTCCTGTGAAAAGAATCATGAGATCCAGTCAACCATAATTTAATAAAGCATGAAAACTTAGTCAAGCTGCATTATGACTCACCATTTCCTGAAAGCGGGAAAACTCCCACTCATATGTACTGTTTTTAATGGCCCAATGAACTAGAAATTCAGCAATACTTCATAATTATCATCAAACTCGTGCTTATAGTGCTTGGTATGACCTGAATAAGGATCCTAACCGGGTTTTGGATTGTTAGAGCGCATTTAAATAGACCCAGAAGTTATATGAGGTGTATATACAAAATACCACATACTTAAATCATTGTTTCAACCAACAGTACTCAAGATTCTGAGATTCAGCTTTTGGGAGAAGCCAAGCGGTGTCGTGCTGAGCTGGAGAGGCTGCGGGCCAAGGTGGAGAGTACAGAGGAGCAGAGCACCTCCGAGGAGCCTCAAAGTGAGGTCAACGAACTGAGGCAACGGCTCCTCCAGGCATACAATGAACTGAAAGGTGCTGAGGAGAGAGAGTACAAGATACAACATGAACTGAAGTGGTGAGCTGTGTATATATACACAGATTTACACACGCCATTATTGCAATCACTGATGCCGCACATTTCATTTTCACTCAGGTATCGAGTCAAATGAATCAAATGAAACTGCCATTTGATTCAATAAAAGACATCCGTTACCAATTTCTCTCAAATTTCACCGTGGCTGTGTCACACACAGAAACCGAAACGCACACTTCACACTTCTGAGAGGAACCCAAGAGACAGAAGAGAGTAAGGACAAAACACAGAAGTGAAATTGGAGTGGGGAGGAGAGCGGTTGTGTATGTTAGGAGGAGAGTGCGCGGACGTATACACACAGGTAGAAAGACGTGCACACACACAGTCACATTTAAGTAACTGGGGACCAAGCACTGAGGTGAGCTACATGAGGCAGCATCTTTTTATTGACTTTAGATGGAGGTGAAGGTGAAAGAGTTTAAGGAACACACACACACACACACAAATAGTATTGATGCTGTGTTTGTGCATTGCTTGGCCTGCAGCAGTTTTTTCACACTAATAGGAATAAAAACATTACTTTTGAAGTGAATTTATTGTTATTATCTTGTCCGGTTTATTTTCCTGAAGACTTATGACGTAGAGAAAACTTTAAGTACACAATTTATGATACATGTTTGCTTGCCTGAGCTGTCGACACTGGTTCGTTTCTTTTTTCTTTTTTGTTTCTGTTCCTCTTCTCTCATCCTTTCCCTTCATTCCCATGAGTCTCTTCTCTCATTGCAACCAATTTCCCTCTTTTCTGCTGCAGGTTTCTCTTTTTCCTCCCCCAACTCACTCAACTCTACTTGTCCAAAAGGTCAAACACACCCACAGAAATGGAAAATAACAGACTCGTTCGAGTATCTCTCACTTCTCTGTACACAAACTCCACTTTTTCAAGTGTCAAAGGGAGGTTATTGGAATATTGCTAAGCAACATGGTAACATAAACCTGTGGTTCCCAAACATTTTGGCTTCCGACTCTTGAAAACAACGTGATGTGTACTTGCGACCTCTCAGTACAGGTTGCATATGGCACAATTCTGAACTGAAGTTGAGTGTTTACCATCCGTGTGTTCGAGTCTGAACATTCAGTTCATTACACACAAGTGTAAACATCTGAGGGGGTCTGACAAGTGTATGAAATTCAGGTATGAAAAAGCTAAAACCTGTGGAATAAAGGGTGGGAATGGCTTTAACGTGTGAATAAAGTGAGCTGTGAGTGAGTATGAAGAGGCTAAAGCGATCTAAAGTAGAGTAATGTCTGAAGAAATACTTTATCTTACCCGGTAGTCAGATCCATTTTAACTTCCCTGGTTGGCACCTGGTTTGGAACCACTAGCATCCACTATTAAGAAATATTTGATACAGCCCAAAGTCTGGAGAGACGGTCACATAAAAATTTATCTTACAAAGTCAGAAGAAGAAAAAAGCTCTACTGTAATCTTGCTAATAAACCTTATTTACTCAATCATTACGCTTATCTTTCCTGCAACGCATTTGACTTTGGATTGCCTCAGCAATATTAAGCCCCTCGCTGCACATAAACTCGACACTGTATGGCAAAGATATGATCTGTGGTGTGGTTTTTCGTGCGTAGCACACACACAGTGGGGCAAAGAGTTGTAGGCCCAGCAGTAATTGAAATATTAAATGAAAAGCACTTGCAGAGCATTCTCCTAGAATGCAGTAATAGACAGTATTACACACTGAGTGTGCATATTATTTGTGACAGCTTTTGCCGGCGAACTCTCTTGTCCCTTCACTATTTCAGTTTGTCCCTCTCCTTCCACCCTTTCTTTCATCCCCTCGAGCCTCAACTATTCTTTCTCTCCCTCCCTTTTTCCTGACTTTTTTTTTTCCTGTTCTTTTTCCTTTCTCCTCTCTTGCCCACATGGCTATCAGTCTGCATATGACAAGCAGATGCTCACCATGCAAATATGCCTTTTAAAATCACGTTGTCCTTTATCTTTAGCCAAACACATACACAGGAATTCAGCACTTTTCTCATCACACATTGTAGCATTCATGCATTTTTCTCCATATATCAGTTAATATCCAGTATATATCAACTTGTCAGGAAGATTAATATCATTTACTTTGTGAAACGTGCCGCTGTACAGTATGTGCTATTGTAAGGTTTTTCATAATGACAGAGCTGACTTAAAATTATTTTGTACAAACTTTAATCAACTGCTCAGAAAGCATCTGCTGCAGGGAGATGAAAAATTCACAGAAATAGTTTTTGTATGCACTTTCAGACTGTAACTTTGATTTATGTGCTTATGTAAGATGAAACTATATCTATACATTTATACGCTATTTATGTGTTTGCCAGTATCACATGTAGGTTTTTTTTTAATGAAATTAATAATATAAGCAACTTAATAAAAGCACTTTTTGACATGCATTTTAATAATATATGAGTTCTGCATCTTTTGCTTTTGGTGGTAGTTTTGTTAGAAACTGTACAGTCGGCAATTTTTAAAAATATAAATGCAGGTTCAGGTCTGTGCGTTTCTTTTCTTGGTTGAAAAAGGAACTGAAACGTGACATTTCTGTATCTTAAAAACTCATTTATGTTGTTCTCTCTTTAACATTTTCTCTTCCCCACTCCTCTGCTCTTCTCGCATCACCTCAACTCACCTCGCCCTCACGCTTATGCAGTCTCCGGGAAGAGAAGCGCTATCTGGAGAAAGAGAATGAGATTCAGACGAAACCTGCTGTAAGTTCATCAATTCACCATCCAGGTCTGGTTTCAGAGGCATGGATTACTACTGGAACAACGGTCTTGAAAGAGGATAAATATGAGTTTTACTTTAAGCCTCCATCCAGGCTTAATCCCTCCATATGAAGACTTGCAATGTGAAGCTAAAACATTTTTCATTCCAACCTCCCATTTAATCAAAAGAATGGCGTACGAGTTGGACAAGTTTTAATCCTTAGATGAAGAGAGGTTTTTAACAGTTAAGCGGGAAAGTCAAGGTAGCAATGACACAAAGACTATTGATTTCATCTTTTAATTTTATTTTATAGACTATTCTGTACATGTTGTATTCAAAGGGACAAACCTGTAAAAAATGCAAGCACTCTTTCATTGGCATAACCTGGTATCCACTTGACGCTGGGTGATGTCTACAGTTCTTTGTAATGCTGCAGAGCATCAGAAGTCTATTGCAATTTTATGTAGCATTTCCATTATGCGGATGGGCATGAAAATCTACAGTAATTGTGGAATCATCAGCTCTAAAAATCATTTTTGTTTTTGAAAGTCTTATCAGAAGTACCGGAATGAATCTAAGATGCTCTGGCTAGTCTCGAGGAGCACTGCATTTAGAATTCTCCAGTCGTAAAGCTTTCTAAATTCTACTGCCTGTTCCGCTAATGGCAAAAGAAGCTTAGAGTCTGAGCTTTGGAAAACTTGTTGATTTAATTCAACAACTTGCACTATTAACTTTTGGATAGGTTGTGGTTGCAGCTACCGTCGCAAATGTGCAAGAGCTCTGACTTACAGAGTGCATTTGTGGGAATTAAACCAGCTTGACACATGAAAGCAAAGAAAACATCATCAGATCTAAACATGGACTAGTTAATGAACAGCATACTTGCTTCCTCGATGAATTTGTGCTCCACAGAAAAAAATGCAATTTGAAATATTCAGGCTGAACAGTCTTCAAATTTCTGGTATCAGAAGTAAGTGGTCAAATTATATTCAAGCATCCAACCGAAGAAAGCAATGCTTGTATGAATTAAAGAAGACAGTACCTTTGCTCCAACAGTTCAGGCAATTTATTCAGTTAATGGAGTATATGTGTAAAAGGGCACTTTATGAGTCTGTTTCCCAGTGTAATTGAAACAACATGCCATATTCAACCGACAACATGTTTGAACTCGGGGGAGTTTGCAATTTCCACACTCTGTAGCACACTTTTCAAACATGATTAATAATCTGTGTTTCTGCACATCCACAACATTTCTAATCATTTTTTTTCCCTGCATGTATAGTAGATGGAAACAGAAGAAAAACCACGAGTTGCCCTTTTACAAGTCGAACTGATGATAGCTGGTTTAGCTGCACTTGATTAATTTTTGAATTTTGCTTGTGGAGTTAAGTCACTGTGACATTTTTTAACCAATATTGTTTTTTGTTGATCAAAAAAAGGAGGAGAAATAAACCAGAACTAGACATAGCACCTCCAGAAACAACTACAAGACCTCTCAGGCTTCCTAACAATAAGATAATACATTAGAGTCGAGTTTGTGAAAAAAAAAATGCTGCAGAATCGGGTATTTTTCATCAATGTGTGAACTTCTGACACAGCAAATACATGAAGTGAAACTGCTTAGACCTTTCACACCTCCGACTCTGAGATTTACTTTATTTTTGGATTCTGTGAGGGAAACGCTATTTTATTTTCGCTTTGCAGTCGGATCTGAATTAAATTCTCACCACTGACTTGATATTCTTGATGTGTGATCTAATTTTTATATTGTTGGTGGGTCCTGTAGAGGCTGGAGAGCAATATAAAGGCCATGCAGGAGAAATATGAGGATCTGAAGAAAGAGGTGTCCCTGAGACAACTAGAAATCAGGTATCACAGGAATCACACTTGACATTATACATTTTATCACCCAGTTAGTTATGTCTTCATTACACTGTGTTAATTTGTATTTGTTTCTTCTTAGTAGCTGTATTTTTGTCTTCATCCATGTCTTCCACTTCATAAGAAGTCCTTCGACTGCCGTTAATGAACATTGTTCTGAAGATAAATCTACCCGTGTGTTCATTTTTCTCTCGCTCCCCACGCAGAAGCTTGATGGAAGATGTGGAAACCCATGAAACGCAGATATTGAAAGAACAGAAACAGCTGGAAGACAAGAAGGAGATGATCGAGCTGAAAGAGGTCCGTGTGTGCGAGCGGGCATAGCTTACAGCACCACCATCAATAAAATAACAAATCATCTGCTCTCTTACATTTGTGTTCGCATGTCTCCGCATGACTGCTACAAGGCTGAGAGAGCCCGGCTCATCAGTGTACCTGACCAGATTTTAAAGGAGACTGAAAGGAAACGCTCTAAACGGGAGTAAGTGCGTTTAACCCTTTCGTCGTTTTTGATGGGGAAGAAATTTCCTGTTAGAAATGCCATGAAATACAATAAACCTGCTGCAGTCAGATAATACTGACAAGAAAAGACAGTGGGACCACATTGATTCAATAATCTTCACCTGGATTCCCTGAATGCAAAATAAATGACTAAAATTGCATAAGGTTTGGTTTTTATAATGGAAAGATTGTGAGCATTTATGTTTTTGCTCGATGTAAACCTCTGATCAATGTTGATATGAAACAGAACCCGAAAGTCTTTGCAAAACTCTATTATTCTACATTTCCTACCTAACATCACCATTTTCCAGTTTTATACTCGTTCAGTTTCCTCTCTGTAAATTATGTCTCCAGTCACCAGCTTTTGATGTGGAGTAGACTTTGAATTTTAGTAGAAATAAATTATTCCATCCAAATAAGGAGCTGCAACATTTGGCACAATGAGCGTCACCAGTCTAATTCTTCTTAAGAATCTAAAGGTGTCAATCCATCTAATTTTATAAAAAAGACAGCCGTATGTGTCAGACGTCATTCATTTCTGAATCCAAATGCAGCTGCAGGATGCTGCAACTCACGCCATCACTGCTGTTCCCTTTTATGTTTATTTTAAATTAATATTTGGCTTGCAAGTAATGCAGAGGAACTGAGCCATGCGAGCTGTGACTTGTAATTTCAAATTCACAAAGCTGAGGAGTTCTGGGGGGTGTATGTAAAAGATGGATGCACATGCTGCTATTTCATAAGATATGCACTCTTACAGGGACGCTGCTGAGAATCAGAGGGTACTTTTATCCTCTTCTCATGCTCACGTTCCTTCTTTGTATGTTTTGTTTTGTTTTTCGTCTGTCAACAGAGCTGCAATGAAGAAGATAGAAGCACTGAATATGGAGATTTCAGAAGCGGAGAAGCAAGTGAAGGAGGTGGATGAGCGTAATAATTCCCTCAGGAGGAAGAGGGAGGAGGTGATACAGGAGCAGGAAGTTCTCAGGGCCCAAGTAGAGGCCAGTCAGAGGGAGCACAGACGGCTGCTGAAAGAGCAGGAGGTCTGCAGGGAGGAGGTCACTGAATTAATGGGCAACAGGTACAAACTTCCTCGACCGTCAGCATCGAAAATGAAAAGTATTGGGTGACCTGATAGCTGAGAGGTTAGGGGGAATGTCACCTGGGAGTCAGTGACCTGAAATTTCCCTATTACCTGTCACTATCCACACACAAACATGTCTGAAAAATATGTACAAACAACTAGAATTAAAAAATTCTGTTTGAATTAGATAAATATTGGCGATTAAGATAGAAATATATGACCTGATTTCTGTTTTCTCACACATGTCACTGTTTTTCATTACCAGAGGCATCTTGGAAATGAAGCTGAAGAGCATCATGTCTGACAGAAAGCACCTGTATGAGAGCCAATCTGTGCAGCTCAGGGAGAAAAATAGGTACAGAGCTATGTGTGACTAAGCACCCGTCCCGCATGCAAATGAGTCCACACATACCAAAATACCTTAAAGGTACCCTGTGGTGTCTTTTTCTGAACAAACAAAATACATGTTTGCATTTAGTGTTATCCTTGAGCTCTCACAATGATGTTGAGTGCATTTCCTTCCTTACAACACTAGCAAAGCCAGATTTAAGTATTTCAAATCCAGCTTTATTTACATCCATGTTTGCTATCTCAAAATCTTCTTCTTCCCTGCCTGTGTTGGCACATGACTTGTACTGCCATTTGAGAGAAATCCCCATGTATGAGATATGAAACTGGAACTGAGTTGTAGAAAATCAGCCCCATAGCATTGCTACAGGTCAAAAACTCCACATTGTAATATACACACTTGAGCACTTCCTGTAAAGCATACCTTAAAATATAGTAAAGACATAAATGCATTGTCTTGATAGATATTCAATCAAAGAGATGATGTTTTACAGGTTTTTCAGCTTCAGTATGTACACACAGTTTCACTCTTTTTTTTTTTTTTTTTTTGAGAGCGTAGGTTCGTTCCCCGCATTCCAAACACGGCTGAAAAACCTTCACATTTGACAGGAATCTATATACAGTACAGTGTAATGAGCCAGATTTGAGACAATGAATTTCAGCTGGAAAGTGTAGGAGGCACAGCCTTTATGATGATGATAAATATTTAAAAGGTGCCTGTGTTTCTCCTCAGGCAGATGCAAGTCCTCAAGAGGATGGAGCATGCATTGACCATGGCCACAGAACAGCTCGAACTCACACAATCTATCTACAACAGATTACAGGCGCAGGTGACGTGTGGAACGCTATGAGATGTTACTGTCACATAAGACACATCTACTCAGATTTGAAGCAGTTAAAACAATAAGTCCTCCCTCTCGCTTTGTGGCTTTTGGAGACATTTTCTAGCTTTTGTCATGTTAAAATTGTGCAAAACTTAAATTTTGGTGCGTGTAACACATCTAATTGCAGCTTACATTTTACCAGTGAACCACACATTGTTAACTACAAGCACCTCTTTGTCTGCAGACATGATTTTTTTACTGGTATTGGCAATTGGTGAGGAAACATTTCTAGGCGTTGACACAGGTGTGGGAATATTATGAGTGCAAAATGTCACAGTGACAATAATCACCACATTAAATCTGTATTACACCAGGAGGGCTTTTTTTTTTTTACCCTTGAACTTCCTGTCATTTTACTGATGTGCACAGTTTTTAAAGCGAAAGTGGAAAAAAAAAAAAGAACAGAACATTACTTGTCGGAAATGCATCAGCACATAACAATATGAAAGGAAATCACTAAACTGCATCTGGGAATTCACACATTAGGGAAACAATGAAAACAACGCTGTCATACAATATGATTCATCCAAACTGACAACCAATAACGACTAATAACAACTCTCTCATGAACAATTACTCACAATAAATTTGACTGACGGCTGTTTAAATGAGTCTGTGGTTTTACCACAGAAATGCGTCACATTTAAATTGAACGGAATGTGATTGATGGGTTTAATATTTTCGAAGTATTACATTGCGAACTTTACACAGCATGATGGCTAATAATGTTATTTAGTTCTTCATGTAGCTAGCTGAAACATAATTGTGGTATTGCATTATCTTTTTTAAAACCCTAAAGCCCATTGATGTAGTTCTATTCCTGCTCCAAGGGCTAGAAGCTTTTAGATATTTGCAACATCGCTCATACCACAGAACACGAGGCAGAGTCTCTGGATTCAATGGCTATCAGAGAGGTTCTGACATTAGTTTTGCAGTCAGTGTTGAATGTGAGATTGAATGTGCACTGACTGAACTGTGAATGAAGTGTGAGAAGATGTGTTAAGATTCAGGGCAACTTGCGGTGGAAGAAAGATGTCGTAGCAAAATGAAAATTTGAACAGACTTAATTTTTCGCTTTACGTTGTGCTCTGAATTTTCAGCTAGATGCTGTGCCCGAAAGAGAGGCCAGTGTTCAACAAAGGATGGAGCTCCAGAAAGAGGTGGATGGTCTCAAAGTCAACTTTGAAAAACAGGTGGGGCTGTTTGGTTAAAACTGTGATAGCAAAGAGGTGATTAAACTCCATCTTGGATTTAAGTGTCCTTTTGTGTGTGTTTTGTAGTTCTTAACTTGGAGGTTTAATGTGTAAAAAAAAAAAAAAAAAACATGCTTACGTACTTTACGCACCAGCCCTTGAACCAATAGCCGTCTAACCCAAGCTTTACATAATCCTGCCTCCTCATTCCCTGCTGTTTCCAAGGTGAGCCATTCAAAAAGAGCAGCTGCCTCATAGTACACCAGGTTTATTTACTTTCTTAGAGCTGCTCCTGCTAACTCTTACAGTCTCAAGCACAAAGTAAGCACACCAAACAAAGTCAAATCCAAAATGAAGTTGTTGTCATTTACATATTTTTCTGTTTCAGTTGTCAGACAACAGGTGATAAAAGTGACTAGAATGCAGCCCATTTAGACTCTGTGTTAACCAGCAGTCACTTCAGAACCATTTCAAAGCTGCAGCTCTGCACCACTTAAATACTGATTTTATCACTGCAACAATGTCTGACAAACTCACAAAACACACATAAGGTAAAACAACACTTGTGCTATGTATTTGGCGATGTTTCCATGTAAAATGTTTGCTCAGAGACAAAGTTAGCAAAAATATAAACTCCTGATCTCACACACTTCATCACACACGTGTCTGTTGCCATGCTGACAATCAGAGACACAGAGTCTTCTTCCTGAAGGGGGTGTGGACAGATTCCATTCATTTAACACTACATTTAAAGCTACAGACCCTGAAATGGCCCGTCTGGAACGGGGCTAAAACTAGGAGTTATATAGTCACGGGGAAATTAACCATCTTTGCAGCATCTTGAGCTGAAAAATTGAAACACTCAGGAGACGTGAGACTTTTCTTAATTTACTGAAAAGGGGCACAATCTGGGATCTCTTAATTTATGCCTCAGACCTTTTTTTTTCTTTTTTCCCCCCGCTTCTTGTCACTTGCACTTTTTCTATGTAAATGCCAGAAATAGAGGATTTCAAATAGCATAATTTTCTAATACTATATCACACAGAAAACTTTAATTATCCCTTTGGGAAAAAGCCTACACTTTGCACAGAAAAGTTTCAATATTCATCGTCTATATCCATCATAGGAGACCTTGCCTTGCTATCCCATTCTTCTCTCAGTACCCTTTCAGTTTCATCCAAATAGTCATGAGATTTTTCAACAGCCTCAAATGTGTTCCCAACCAGCTATCAGTGGCTGAGGAGGAGAGCCAGAAGAAGCAGCAGTATGGGATGATTCAGGAGCTGCTGAGGGAGTCAAACCGCCTCAGAGAAGAGCTCCATAACCTCAGATGTCTCACACAGATCAAAGCAGAGGAGAGGGGCCAGAAGCACCGTGAACTGCTCAGGGCTGAGGTGCAATACAAACACACACACAAACCCGTGCACACACAATGCTACATTTAAAATACATTTTGATGTCATCATTAGTGCATTTCATAACGTACGAAGACACAGACATGCACATTTCACACATAAATGTGTTAAAAGGCATCAAAGAAGAACTGAAGTAGGCTTATATTTTTGGTACTTTTGATGTTAGTGTGAAAACTAATGACGAATTTTAAAGAGCACAGATGTCAACAATGCAAACAATCTTATATCAATACGGTGCAGTCATTTCAGAATGATTTAGAAAGTTTATAAACTGAAGCTACAGAAAGGAGGGCATATTTGAAAAAGAGAACAAATGCTTCTACATAGTTTAATTTTTTTCTCCTAAAAGATTCATGGCCTTCATCTCCTGATTAGTAAATAATGAAATCCCAAATCAACATCGACCAGCTCAAAAATAAATGAAAGCGTACAGGAAATTCGTAAAAATCCATACTAAGAAAAACAGGACTGCTAGATCAGCTAACTTATTTATTGTTTTGTTTTTATTTATTCAGAGTCAGAAGGGAAGCAGCTACAATGCTGAAAAATGTGCACCCACAAGCATGAACGAAGTTTGATGTTTTGCGAGCGCAGACATATACAAATAAACAAACCCACACACAGAGGTGATGATACTATAGTTTCACCTGCTTAAATCTACTCGCAGCAACTGAGCCAGCACATCCAGCGGGAGCTACGAGAGAAAGACCTGATCGTCACGGACCACAACAAGCTCAACGCTATGCTACAGCGCAGGTGTCACTGTTGTTTTCTCTTTATGCAAAAAAGGATGTTCCAGAGATGCCGTTAATATGCAGTATTAGGGAAATCATAATCATCTCCTCAGATGGCTTCAAGTCTTCTGTCTTGCTCGCTCTCTCTCTAAAATGAAATAAAACATGGAGATTTCACCGCACAATATTAATGTGGCCATTTCCACAACTGATAATTGATTCCCTGGTTATTTGTTTGGCTCCTCTGATCTGCATAAGAGCAGGAATCACAATTAATTCAGACATCTGCACATGCTGCCTGGGTAGAAAACCATGTCGTACTAATTGGTCATACTTCAGTGTTCAGACACAGACTAATGCGTATAGCACCACCCAGCACAACAACAGACTCTTAAAGTGCATTTATTAAGGTCAGAACAACAGAATACAGTCGGATACGGTTGCGCTTGACATGGAATCAGTCTCCCAAAATCTAGACGAGCTAAAAGAGGGGCAGGGCGATCATGAAATGTCTCGTATCCTCTCGCTGTTTTTATGTTTAGCTGTCATTGTTCTCAACTCATATTTCACACATGAATTTTACATTAAAATTTAATGACATCTCTTCTGTCAGAATTGTTTTTGAATAGCTGATCACTTGTGATGAATATGAAAGTTTGATAATTACTCTGTTGTAATTATGGCAATTTATAATGGCAGCTGTTTCTGACCAGATTGCTCAACTTTACATTTTAAGCACATGCAGGTGTGGAGGACACGTTGTCTATACGATTCACATCACAGGAGTCACCAAATGACGACCGGCTATGGATTTAAATCCCACACTAGTTAACAAGAAAGTAAACAGAGATAATGAACTCTATGCTTCCGAGCTACCACTGGCTAAGTAAATGCAAATAATCAACATACAAATAGGAGTAAATGACAAAATTCTCAGAAACCCGCTGCGGATTGGGAGTCTGACTTTGTAATGCAGATCAAGATTGTGTTTATTGCTAATCACTGTTCTTCTCCTTAGAATATCCCAGTATTCTAAACTGTGTGATATGATCGTGGAAGAGAAGAACAAGTACATCAAGTTGAAGGAAATCGCCTCACAGACAACCACAGAGTTGATGGAGCAGATTAAACTCCTGGAAAATGAGAAGGAAATCCAACGCACTATTGTCATCAACAAGGAAAGGTGTGTTCATTTATTTGGTAGAGGAAGGACGGAAGGTCACCTGGCTTAGAGATAAACATCAAAATGAGATACTGCAACAGCTCTACATCAAGTCCCGCCTTATTGAAGGCTATAAACTTTTGTTTTGTTGTTTAAACTTTGAATTTATGTGCAGGCAGTGTGTTTGTGGGTAGTTTTGTTTGCGAGGCTATCTCTGCATCTGCTACATAATTTGTCTTTGTCCATTCCAGATCGCTTGCAAAGGCCTGTATGAAGATCTCTAACAGCTCCAAAATGAGGGACAAACTACACTATGACATCTCAAAGGTCCACACACACACACACAAACACACACACAGAATGAGAAATACTTTTTTGTCATAACTGTAATAGTGGTTTCAAGGGAACTCTAAATGTCTGGCGGCACTTTCAGAGCGCAATATAGAGATCGAGAGACAAACCCACCTCCAGTGTTTGTCTTACAGCTTACACGTCTTATAGAGGACACCAAAACAAACACAGATTAGTTTTCAAGAGTTTGAACTTTTGTGTTTGTCTATTGTGCTGCAGAAGTTGCCTCTCAGTAGTTTTAAAGTTAATGTCTACCACTATCAAAGGAACACTTCGCACACGTATTTCATGAACTGACGTGTAGGAGAGAGAGGAGTATTTCCAAAGTGTCAAAAAGATTTGCAGCATTTTGGGGCTTTTTTGCAGCCTTTTTGAAACTCCAGCACTATCAGGTGAAAGCATGTCGTTCTACATATACGTCAGAGTTTGCCAAGAAAGAATAACGTGTTGTTTCTATTCGAAAGAGATGCATACTGCACTGGTAGCTCACACCGAATACAATCTAGCAGAACACCAGAACAGATCTTTGTCGGGCCTTGTCAACTCGACATCACAGAATAAGAAATGTATAGACACAAACACACATATCAGGCGGTTGGTTGTCATGTACATGATGAGAACTGATCAGTCGGAGCAGAATTGGTGCTCTTCAGGGCATGCAAAGGAACATATACATCAACAGTTTAGTGAGAAATCAGAATTACATCAGCTTTTAAGAAATATCTAGAAAGTGTGGCTCATTTCCTAAGAATCTGCGCAGCCTTAAGATCTTTTTTTTCTGACACTGTAATCGTATATCAGACCCTTTCTTACTTCAAACATCTCGTAGGTTGCCTGGAAGCAGCATAACATCAGTCAGGACTGTGAGGACAACAAACTTGAGCTGACAAGACTCTCACAAATGATCAAACTCCAGGAGGAGACGCTTCTGGATATAAACAAGAATCACGAAACTGCCATACAGCGACGCAACTTTCTGTATGTTGGTAGCTTGAAGCTTGCACAATGTAGAGTATTTAAACCACTTTGAATAACGGTATACACGTGTGATCTCGCTATGCTCACAGAGGAATTCAGCTCCTGGAACACGAGGAGGTTTTGTTCAACTACCACGAGAAGGTGAACATCCAGGAGGCAGCCATCACAAAGACCAATATGGCTATGGAGACCCTGGAGAAGGACATCAAAGACTTGGAGATGGCAATTAAAGAGGAGAGGAGGCACATAGACCTGAAGAAGAAAGACGTGCTCCTCAAGAGAAAACTGGAGGGAGAGATTGCCATGCTGCAGATAGAGGTAGAAAAAATATGCTTGCATCCCTGCACAGACACAAGAAGTACAGCTGACAGTTCTGCACTGATAGAACAATCAACAAAGAGGAAATTTCGCCAGACTCTTAGAACTGCAGCGCACACTAATTACCTAAAAAGATGTAGATGAAAAGCCGTGTTTACTCATGAGATACTTAAAAGTTGCTGAGGATGAGTAATTGACACGTTTAATGGAAATCCGTCATTAAAATCGTTTCTGACACCCACTTCTCCTTTCTCTGTAACTCCTCTTCTTCCTTGTTTACAAGAAATGAGAAACACTTCCTTGTTTTGATGTTTCTGATCATCTGCAGCCCACTTTATAGTTCTCCAAAGTTACAGCAAAGGTGCACTGCAGTCCCGAACAGTGTTGTGTTGCTTATTTTCGTCGGGGTCGGTATTAGGTCCTCCGTCAGGTTTATTATCGTCTTGAATGAGCATTGCAGATGGCTTGCTTGTGTTATTGTCTTCTGTAACGCCCCTACAGTTTCCCTAGAGTGGCTTCACTAACATAACCACTAATTGGTGCAGATTGTGTCTGCAGAATACCGCTGTCCACATTTCTCCAGCAGCGTGACCATGACTACATCAGGATGTGGATTCATAATTCGATCTGGAAGCAGTTAGACCTGTCAATTAGAGCTTCCTGGTGTGATCAGATCATAAAAAGTTGGACTGGAAAGACAGATTGTGTGTCCGCAAAGTTTTTCTTGGACTCGTCTGTCTCAGTCTCTGGCCTGCAGACAGACATGCATACTTTCTCCCACAGCGCTTGGTGCTATTGTCCAGCTACGTGTGTGTGCGTCCGTCCTCGTAAGAACAATTCATGTGAGTTATTTAGTGTCAGTGGGAATCGTAGGGAGTGCATAACTGCGTATGCAAGTTGGACGGGTCTCGGGTTTTGCAGATAATTGTTTAACTTGATGTCTGTCTGTGTCAAGCCAGGGGAACTCCAAAAAAGAGCAGTTTAAGTGCAGTGCTTTAGAAGACAATACTTAGAACAGTTCAGACGCTCAGTTCACCACTAATGAGCAGATCTCTGTTTTGAAACACATTCAGAATCTCATCTTATAATGAGACTTGTTCGGGTAAACATACTGTGTAGGAAGGCTTTCTCTTTAATGAACAGGCTCGTATTCTAATTTGCTCTCAGTAAATATCAGCAAACATATATATTTCAACCGTATTCAAGATTCATTTTGCTTTTGCATGTGAGCCGAGTCTCTCCAAGGACTCGGCAGTGGACTCGGGGCAGAATTATTGCGAGCATACACACACAACTTTACCATTCAAAACAAAAGATTTTAGAAAAAGAAGTGTACATTTATGGGAATGTTGTTTTTCAGCTAATGCACCAAAACTATTTCTGTAGGCTGTCTTTGATCAGTCAAACAAAGGAAGTTGATTGCACTGTTTTCAGAGGTGATGCTCTCATCATTTTGTCGAGGTGTTGAGCCTGTAGTCAAACATTCTCCTAAGTCTGAACAGAGACAGAAAGAGCACTTGTTAGGCAACCTCAGAACAGAAATGCAAAAAGAAGATGAAGATCTAAACCAAGAGGGACAAACCCAAACAACCACATGCTGCACAAGTGTGACACGACACAGACTCGGATACACATGAATAAATAACAAACATTTTCAAGCAACTTTGCAATACATTGATAGTGACAGGCACGTAGACGGAGAGAGTTTTGAGAAGAGACGCACAAACACAAACACACGCTGAGTTTTCCTGCCAGTGGCTGCATCACGGGACTGGGTGTGTTGCTACTCTGGAATCAGAGCAACTGGTTTAGACTTGCTGCTTGACCAGACCTCTCTTATCTGAGCTTTGTGCTGTTTTGGATGAACCCAGTGTTGGAAGAGACTTCGCCATGTGCTGCTCCTCTGAAAAACAACCCTTTCCCTTTCCTCCATCTGTTTACTCCTTCTGCTGTTTGTCTTCTACAACAGGCCTCGTTGGCTTTTTTTTCTTTCGCTCATACTTGATATTGTTTCTCTCGTTGTTAGTTTTTTTTACTCTTACCTTTCTCGCCTTTGTCCAAGAATTTTTGTTTTCATTGTTGTCATGAGGAATTTTGTTAACTGGAAGTAACTGTATCTATCCATTCTTCCTTCCAAATTCTGGCCCGTCTTTACATCCTTCTTCCTCTCTCTGACTGACCTTGCATTTGGCTGTACATAAAGTGGATTCCAGACTGAAATATAGCCCCAACTATTAGACTGGCAACAGTCTGGAATAGAAAATGTTGTTAAACCTTTCATATGCCAAAAGGATTAATCCTTCTGTCTTTCCTTCAAGCACTACCAAGACGTTGGCATTTGTGGTTTGGAGTAAAGTTCCTCTTTGAACATCATGTCAAAATGTGTCTCATACTTTCGGGTGGAGTCTGTGACTGTGGAGACAGATTGTTGATATTTAGCGAGTTAGCATATTTAGGTATCTTGTACCAGGTTCTACTGTGCATGAGCTCATATGTGCACAGGACAGGCTGGAATAGTGTAGTAATTGTAGTATTTGTTTCCCATTTGGAGCCAGGATTGTGCATGAAAACTAGATTTTTTTTCAGTAGTAGACAGTGAGGACATATTCACTTAATTTGGCACAAAGTGCAGAGGATTAGCGTTGCTGATTCTACCGTGAAATTTATAGCTAAATACGAATTATGTTCTTTTCGACCTCTGTATGCTAACAAACTCAACTAAAATAGGAACTGTAAATATACCTGTACATTACACCTGCCCTACATTAGCATTTTAGCATTGCCATTGTACCATTTTAGCATGCCGCTGTTAGCATTTAGCTGAACGCTCTGCTGTGCCACCTCGGCTCAAGCTCACAGAGATGCCAGCTCAACTGGAAACTCTTAGTCATGTTTGGATACACATGCAACTCTGAGAATCAACAGTTACATCCCTGATTAGTTTATCAATCCATCTGTTTGTTCATCCATCCGTCCTTTCAGCCATCCAGTCATTCAGTATTTCTCCCTCTCCTTCTGTGTGTAAATAGCAAATCATTTTCTAAATCACAGTTTTCCATCGTACAGCCGTCTAGCTCCCCCGGGTACCAAAAGTGAATCATGGGGGTCTCTCCTTTTGCGGGACGCTTGCCAGCTCAATTCATTCTCCCTGCGAATTCATTCTCTATGCGAATTCAATTTCCATGCAACTGCCTTGCTGTCGATTTATCATATATATTGTATATTTGTATTCATCTGTGACCAGTTTATCTGTTCGTTGCAGACAGACCCCCCCTCCTCCCTTTGATGGGAAATTTTGACAAAGATAGATTGGGCCATCTGTGAGACTATTGAAGTTCAATATACTCTGAGGCTTTCATTTGCTCAGAGGAATTTTAATTGCTACAAAATAAACAGAGGTTGGTGTCGGATTTAGAATTTACTACTTGTTTATGAGTCGCTGGCACATCAACAGCTCAAACACATACAGGTGCGCATGCATCAGCGCCCACGCTGAGATCTGTGCAGTGTTTGTGGCATCCAAATATCGTTGAACAGTCGTCTAATGACTAGCTGCACTGTTATACACAGTGGCATCAGCAATATCGCATACAGGCACACAGTCAGTAGCAGAGTGAGATTTGGAAGAGGGTGGGGCTCATGACAGACAGCACTGTCCCTGTGGTGGTGAGTCATATTGTTTGTCTGTCCCTCTCTTAAATCTTTGTCCAACCTGTCTGGAACTTATTACCGTGGGGAAACCCTTCCAGAATCTCGTCTTGACAGTGTGTGTGTTTATGTTTACGAGTGCGTCCCGACCTTTTTATGTGACGTTTCCCCACAGGCCAGTCAGACGAACTCAAGAACCCCTTCATCAACACCACAGCTCATGATTTTACATTTTACTGTAATGCAACATTTATATAAACCATCAAGGTGAACAGTTTTTCTTTATCTTTTATTGTTAAAATTACAAAAATAGAGTTTCCTGTTTTTACACATACATTAACAAACTGAAACAAACATACAAAAAAAAAGTACATCTTGGTAATAACCTGTAATAACATGGTGGTGATAATAACATAGTAATAACCCAGTTCAAACTGAAATTATTACAATAGGTAACTCTAGTTGGCGATACTTATTAATATAAATATATAATCAATATAACTTCCATTCATTATAATACGGTTTGAACAATCTATGCTGGTAGCTAACAACTTTTTATTCACACGTTATGCTGACAATTTCCAATTGTGTATCCATATATTTAGCCTGCTAATTCAGTTTATCCGCTTTTAGCAAACATTTAACCATGAATCCATGCTACTGGCAAACAGTGTCTGAAACTATTAGCCATACTTTTAGCTATTAATGTCCAACTGTTTATCCAATTTTAGTTAGCTGTTTCATTTGTTTGTCCAATATGTTTGACAAACAATTTTATCTGTTTATTCTCTTTTAACTAACAGCTTTAAAGGTCCAATGTTATTTTCCTTTTCAGGAAAATATTGAAATTATCATATGTCCTCAGAATGTGTCTTTTAGTCTTTCAGCCCAAATTACTGCATAAATGGTTCATTTCACCATGACTGTATAATCCTTGGTTTTAGCGCTGTTATAAAAGGGCTGTTCAGTGTCTGTAGCTGTAAATGCAGCCGAGCTGCTGCTGTCCACGCCCCCTTCAGGAAGAAAATTCTGTGTCTGTGACTGGCAGCTCGGTGCTTAATGGGCTGTGTTTCAGTCGCTATTTTATACTCATTGTTGTCTGACAACAGAAACAAAAATAATATTTCGTAATAACAGCTTTATTGGGAATTCAGCTTTATTAAAACAGAGTATATGTGAGCACAGAGAGCAAGGTAAAAGCAAACAGATGTAAAGAATGGCCAAGTTTAGGTTGCACTGAAGCACAGCTGGCGACAAGAAAACACAATAACCCACATAGTCCTTATTTCCACCATCTCGGAATGTCCCTCAGCTTTGCAATTTCCACAGAGCTCTAACCTGTGGGCACACAT